ATCCAGAAAATGTTTTGATACAAAAGTTTAAAAGAAATCTTATATTAAAATTGTATTTTTGTGTTTCCTTGTTTTGCTTCTTCCTTAGCTATATGTGCGAGACTATATTTTAACCATTATTGCTTCATAATTTGGAGGGGGGAAAGATCAGAATGAAAATGAATTTACAGATACAAAACTTTATATCGTTGTTGTTGCTGGACCAGTGGAATCTTTCTAAATATTTCAGCACGGTAAATTTACTATTTTTTATTAACTTTATACGGAGGTTAGGCTCCTTTCTTATATTTTCTTAAATATCTATGGGCATCAATTGAGCAAGCAATCAGCAATGTAATCGAACCGTTGGGCAAAAATACAGTGGTTCAATACCCATAAAACATGTGTTATGGATAAATAATTTAATGTCTATGACTGTAAACAATTTTAAATAAACAAATGAGAAAGTACACGTAGAAGCATTTTTAAAAGGAAAAAACACGCCCCCCAATCTTTGATTCATTCTTTTTCATTTCTGAAAATGTACATCTTAGATTTTAGCATAATTAAAATATTGTCATCTAACAAACCGAACTAACCGCGTAGAAGACAAAATAGCTGTTTTTTTCAGATGAACGTTTAAAATAGATGCGTGTTTCATCCCAAATCCTCCTAGCAACCAGATTCCCAGATTTACCTTCTTTTAAATCTCATATAATTTACACAGGCAGGGAAAAAATAGATGTAGCCTATAAAATCGGCAAAATAGCTATAATTAACCCTATATTTTATCTCTCAGGATTATTCATACTCTTCTGCAATACCCAGTTTGTTGTTTCTAATGAAATCAAGGTGTTATTAAATAGCCTTCATGCTAAGGCACTGGCTCGCCTTTGATTTTTAACATGGAGCAACAGCGCCATCTAGCGACCATCCGAATTAAAAATCCCCCTAGCCACACAAACAGATGAATCCAATAAAAATAGACTAGGGGAAAGGTGGAGGGATGGGGCGGGAGGGGGGGGGGGAAGGGGGAGAGAAAACTTATTTGTTGGGGGAGGGGTGAAGCATGGAAATCAGGAAACGGTTCATGAAATTTTGCGGATAGATGGTTATAAAAAAGTAAAAGCAAGCCCCAGAGTTTTCTGCAAAGTATCCCTACCATCCAGTCGTTTTAGTAGCAATAAAGTAGGGGAAATGATTTTGCTTCTGAAAACCTCTATTGTTTCAAATTCCGAGACTAAACAATTGGGCATTCTCCTCTGGAGGAGGAAGGCTAGGGCTGTAAACAGATAAAGAGCTTCCCAAGCCCAGACGTCTCGCCAGAACTTCTGTGTATATGTGTGTGTGTGTATGTGTGTTGTTGTTGTTGTGAGTTTATGGCTCGGGATTCTGGCAGCCTGGAATTGCTAAGAAAGAAAGAACAAAGGGAAGCATCCAGAGTGCTGGATTTTCACGGCATCTGCAAGAAAAGAATAAAGAAGAATAAATTACCATACTCCCTTCCCCCCCACCTCCACCCCTTAAAAAAAAAACAACCCTTAAACAAAAACTTTGTATGTGATTGAGGCTGAAAAAAGAGTATTTACGTGTTGGGTTTCCCCACATCCCCAAGTCGTTGTAGTAATTTAGGAGCTCCTGAAAGTTTTCTTGCACTGTTTGCTTTACAGCCGTTTAGTTCTTTAACCTTCAGAAATTTATACCCTGTAAAGTTTTATAGCGGTCATATTCTTTTATTGCAGCGCACTGCACGTATTTTTTTTATGACAAGTTACTTCCCTTCCTCTCTTTCTCCAGTAAGCTCCAAAAATCTTTTAACTTCTTTTGTTTTCTTTGGGTTACCCCATAGAAAGAGGATTTTTTTCCTCCAGCTTTTTAAAGCAAAATGTTGCCTTTTAGAGCACTCTTTCTTTATGCTAACAAAATTAGGGGAAAGAGAATCTTGGCTGTATTTCTCATTGTTTCCTGCTGATCTGAACTTTAGGGTCTAATTTTTTGTTTGTTTGTTTTACTTTCCAGGCACATATGTTTCTGCACGAGACATAAAGTGTAAAACGACTTCTAAATCGGGAGTTACTTGTCAAGTCCTAGGGAAAAGGAATCCTATGTTATATATTCTGATCATTCCTACCAAAGGTGGGAATATTTTATTTCGTTTGCAAAGATTTTTTTTTAACTCCCCACTCACCTTACGGCCATTGTAGCCTATCTGGATTTAAAATAACGGTGCATCTAACCCAAGAAGGGAGGTCTCAGAAATACTTTACAAAATTGAGTTAGAAACGGAGTAGGTTAAAGTGGAAGGCAGGAAACACTTAATACCATGGAAATGAATTCATTTCATTTCTTCCAGGGACACTTTTTTTCCCAACAAAGGCAAAAAATTGATCTTTATAATACACTTAACGAGCCACTGTAGAACTCAGGGAAACACACTGAAAATATTTCTGAAATTTTAGCTGAAGCAGTATAACACAATGAGATATAGGTATTGTTGTTCTAAAATCGATTTTTATTCTGGAGCATTAAACATCTGTGGAAAATACATTTGGGCTTGTGCAACAGAAAACAGGGTTTCCAACAATTTGTTCTTTAAAAAAAACAAATCCTCTACTAAAACGAAGTAACATTTTTTTACCATATTTAAAAAGCTTATTTCATGGTTGCCTTAAAGATATCCGCTCATTACCACAATGCTAAGGAAAATGAAAAGGGATGTTATATCCTAGAGTCCAGTAGGTTGAACAAGTGAATTACGTTATGGGTAGTATTTGATCGTTTGTTTGTTTTTAAATGGTAAGTGTTTAGATAAGCCTGTTTCGGATCAGTTTGGAGCCATATGTCAGATTTCGGCCGTATATTCAGTTCGTTAAAACTAGACGTTAGATTCGTTTGTCATTCATTAAATGAAGAGAGAGACAGAAAACAAAATATAAAATACAGAACCCCAAACTTTAACAGGCCCAATCGTTGCTTTTCATTTCAGATGATTTTGAAAGTAAACCCATATTTAGAATAATGATCCTTTCCCCTTTTTTCAGTTCAAAATAGGGGGAAATCCTGGTTTTTGGAATTTCTTTTGAGAAGGCAAATTTCCATACAACGTGAAGTTAGGTTAGATTTAACCCACTGTAGCTCCCCAGCTGTTAAAGTTGGAAAGTTTTACGTGAGAAAGTCTAGGCTTAAAAAGCGTTTGAAGATTGGGCTTAAACATTTTCAGATCTGGTTTCTAGTCGACTGAAAGATTTTTTTTTTTTAATTGGGGGGAAAACTAAACTTGTGTAAATTGCGGTGTACAGAAAATCACCGCCATTGCCTCTGATCTTCGGATAATCTGAAAAGCAGGCGCACTCTCCGAAAATGAAAATATCACTCTGGAATCTCTACAGAGCAATCGCTTATCAGCAGATAAAAGTAGTATAAAAATCTTCTCCTAAAAGTACAAGCAGTTTTCTTGTCTATGAAATTAGATTTGTATTATTTTGCTCACACATCACCAGAAATATATTTCTTTTTCTTTCTTTTACTTTTTTTTTCTCTATTAAAACTTGCCACCATACACTCTGTTATTCCTAGAAAGACTTTTGGTAGCTCGGCATACAAATGTGCACACGGGGAAAAAAAAGATAGGTTTATTTTGATATTCGTCATCATTCTTTGAAAAGTAACAATTTAAGATCTCAACGTATACTCAAAAAGCCACACTGGAAACATAAAACAAGCGTCAACGTTCACAGAAACACAATCACAGACACATTTTACAATACCCACCATATAGTCAACTTGTACTAAAGTTACTCCCCCACCTCCCTATCTCCCTCCCTCTCCTCTCCCACCCTTATCCCCTCCCCCCTCCCCCCCAAAAAAGTTAAATCTTACAGAGAGATAAAGGAATCACCGTCCTGGTTGGACTGGTATAGAGAAACTTCCAGGAGATCTTTCAGATGAGAATTCAATTCCTTCCAGCATGAAATGAGACCTCTTTTGTAAACAATTAGGATACATATTTGTTACATTAAATGCAACACCCCCCCCCCAAAAAAAGGCAACCACAAGACAATCACAATTCTTTTATGTCACACAACCAGTAACAGTGTTCTTTTTCGTGTTAAAATGCAACAGCACGTATTATAATGTAATGTAAACACGGTATAAATGTAAAACTCATTTCTAACAGATCAGAAGGAAATATTCAAGTATAAACTTCTCATCTGAAATATCAGGGGAAAGCAATGTACAACCAACAGCCTTGGCACTTTACCTCTGAAACAATCTAATTCTTTAGGAAAATTCATTTCACAATAAATTATAAATACTCTAACGCTAAGAACACAAGTTTACCTTCTCTTATAGATCTACTTAGGTAGGGTTTTTTATTTTTTGTTTGTTTTTAACTAGAAAAATGTCATTTTTTCTCCTCTAAAAGTTAGGAATAAGTTGGAAGGGGGTTCTTTTTTGTTTTTCTTTTTTATTTTTATTTGTTTGTGGGTTTTTGTTTTTTGTTTTTTTTGGTTTGGTTGGTGTTTTTTTTTTTTTTTTTTTTTGCTAAACAATTAACACTTTTGTTCTGATAGACTTTTCAAATGATCCCATATAAAACTACCAGGTTG